AAAAAGAAAGAAAAAAGATATCCTGGATCTCATCTGAAAACAAAACCCACAACCCCACCAGCACAAGCTTTTCCAAACCTGCAGGGAAATGGTTTCACATTTTTCTGCTGGTCAGCTCTTTAAAAAAAAAAATAAGGAGAAAAAAGAAAGAAAAAAAGCTTATTCTGTGTGTGTGTATATATATAAATATCCTTATTTTTGTATGAAAAGCCAAAAAGTTTCCTCCTTCAGGGTCAGGCCACCACGTGCTGCTGGTTTGGAAACTGTAACAGCCACAGTAGCGCCCAAATGTTGGGATTTCAACCCAAAAAAAGCAAACACCAGAAAAACAAAAGGATTTTTGCTCTCTGAAGGAAAGACCTGTGAGTTTGGGGCCAGATTTTAGACCAGGGATTGGGGCTGGAGTGGGACCCCTGTGGCCCTGAGCTGAGGATGGACCAGGAGAGCTCCATCCCCAGGTGCTGGAGGGGCTGTCAGATTATTTCCCCTGGCATCCCAAGAGGTCATGGAATCATGGAATGGTTTGGGTGGGAAGGGACCTTAAAGACCTTCTCATTCCAACCCCTGCCATGGGCAGGGACACCTTCCATGAGACCACATTGCCCCGGGATGCCCCAGGACTCAGCAGGTATGGTGTTGAAATGTAGGAAAACATGGGAAAAAAAACACCCCATGACTCAGAGTATCCAAGTTTTCCAGCTTTTCCGTCCAGGCAGCATTGACAGGGGGGTTTGGTGGAGGCACACGCGCAGGAGGACCCCTCCAGCACTCAAAAATACCCCCCAGCAATCTCAGAACTTGCCCTGCTCCATCACCTGGTACCTCCTCATGAACCCCAGTTTCATCCCATCCCTGATCAACCCCAGCTCCTGAATTTGAGGGACTTGGGGCCAAAGCTGCCAGTGGCACCCAGAAATAAATGTGGTGACCCCAAAAGAGAAGAGGTCCCTCCTGGTACGGGGGAGCTGCTCTTGTCCCCCATGGATGCTCCACACAGGGACCACCCCAACAAGCCCCTCCACGCTGCCCAGTGGGTTCTGGCTGTTCCCTGCTGCTAGTAATGAGGTTCCCCCCCTCTTTTTTCCCTTCATTCCCAAGATCTCTGGATGGATAGGGGAATTTTGGGGTCTGGAGAGCTGCCTCGACCTTTCGTCACAGCATCTGCCCTGGCCATATCCTGCATCCAACTGCAAATAGCAGAGGCACGAGCAGCTGCCAGGGATAATCCAGGGGCAGATCCTGCCTAAATCCCCTTCCTGGTCTCCATGGCATCCCTGGAGCTGGGAGCTTCGGGCTGCCAAAATGCAGCCTGGATTTGGGGGTGATGAGCCTGAAATATGGGGAGAACCAGGGAAATTGGGTTTGGGGCTGGGATGGGGGAAACTGATGCACAGAGGATTTTCTTCCCTCCTTTCTCCAAGAGCATCCCGGGGGCTGCAAAGGAACCATCCGGGCTGGATCCATCCCTTTCCCATCAGGAAATGAGCCCGTTCTGAGGGGACCCCACCCTGAGTGATGAGCCACACCGCGGGGCAGTGTTCAGACTTCCCCAAAAAAGGGGTGTCAGGTGCTGTCCCGCGGTGCCAGGGAGATTTGGGAGGGAGGAGGCGTTGGACAGGGGCACGGGGAGGCCGACGCCATCCCATGGTCCCCGGGGGAGCGGTGGCCGGGGCCGACGTCACTGTCACCGAGCCCTTCAAATAGCCGTGCCGGCCTGGGCAGCCACTGCTCCGGCCACTGGTCACCACTCCGGCCACCGGTCACTACTCCAACCAGCGGCACCTGCCCGGCCAGGTGAGGCTGCCCCGGCTCTGGGAGGGGGGTTCATCTCGGGGTGGGTGGTCCTGGTCACCCCAAATCAGACCCCAATAGCACCCACGGGGGTGGGTGTCCGTGCTGGACCCAAATCCCAGCAGCACCGCGGGGTGCTCAGCCCCTCCAGCTTCTCCAGCCCCAAAGAGCATCCATGGGAGCTCATCCACTTTGGATCTCCATCCCCGAACCCACCCCAGGCAGCACCTATGGGTGCTCACCCCCTTTGGATCCCCATCCCAAACCCACCCCAAAGAGATGCTGGACAATC